ACTTGCAAATATTAGCTCTAAATATTTCAAATATGCTAGTTATAGCTCAATTTTCAATGTTAGGAAAATTTTATAAATACATTGATGAGTTAAAAGAACATAAATGGATGAATGCAAGATGGCACTGTAAGCAGCTGCACATCTCATTCCCTCAAAACAAAAATAGAAAAAATGACCAAAAATAGGTCAATTTATGGTCTTAGCACTTAGGAAACCAGTCAAAGAGTTACAGCATCTATGTGAACACAGAATTGAGAAAAAACCTGCTCTCAAAAGGATAAAAAAAAGTATATATATTATCATATAATTTTAAAAAAGAAATTATAGTGACATATTTATGCATAAAAAGATAAGGAAATATTAATAACATGCTACTTGTGTCTTAAATTAAAATTTTATTTTTATCAAAGTAGCCTATGAATGTAATTTAAATAGTCAAATGAAAAAATGGAGAGTCATTAATTTCAAGGAAATCAAATTGTATGAGAAAAGAAATGATTATATTTTATAGCAAGTACATAATATGGCACAGCTCTTAATAATATTATATTCACAATAATGGAAACAGTGAATATTAATGTAACTGAAAGTTGTAATAAAGGATGATTAGAGCGAAGAGAAATCTGTGTTTGGCAGGGAAGAAGGGAGTCTACAGTACTAAATTTTCATAGTCCCCATCACTAATTCTGCCTTCCAGCCTTCCAGTGGAACTTGTTTTAGAGTTCTTATATAGCACAAACAAATCAGGCATTCTGCCAGTTCTTTTTTTTTTTTCCCCTTGGAGACGTGCCACCTGGAACGTTCTGCCTCGTCAGGTCTAGAATGCATGGTTGTCATCTCTGGACTTTACCTCACCAACATTTTGGGATTCGCTTTGTCTTTTTCCTGTATTGGAGCCTCTGCTTCTTGGATCTCATGTGCTTTTCGTTCTTGTTTTACCTCTCCATTTGAAGCTAGAAATCAAAAGCTCTTAGGCTTTTGAAGAAAATGCTCTCTTATCTTCTGCTTTCCAGTCTTGCTTTTATGCAATTCCTTGTCATTTTGCTTCCCAGTTCTTTGCGGTATATTCCCCCCACCCCGCCCCACCCCCTTTGGAAGAATGTTGTTTTTTTTTTTAAATAGTATTTTATTGAGTTTTTGGTGAAAGTTTACACAGCAACTTAGGTTCCCATTTGACAGTTTCCATACACATTGTTCAGTGGAATTAGTTACATTTATCTCAATGTGTCAACATTCTCTTTAATTGTATTCAGTTTGTTCCCTTTCCAGTACTCTAGTTTCCCTATCCATTTTTCCTTTTGAGTAATTGCTGACCTTTTGGTCTCATACTGATGGTTTTGAAGAAGGACATTGATTTTATGAGTACTATCCTTTATTTTATGTGCCACTCCGCTGTTTCGCTAAAAGTTGATCTCAGGAGATAGGTTTGGTTTTAGATTTAAAGAGTATCTCGGGGCAGTAGTCTCAGGGAGTGCTCTGTTGTCTACTTTACCAGTTTGTCTGGCTTTTTATTTTGTTTCTTAGTAAGAATTTGAGTTCTGTTCCATATTTTTCTCCCATTCTATCTGGGACCAATTATTGTGACCCCAGTCAGAACAGTCAGTGGTGGTAGCCAGGCACCATCTAGTTCTTCAGGTCTCAGGGCAGATGAAGTTGTAGCTCGTGTAGACTTGTTTCTTTTCTGCACTTTTGGTTACCTTCTTACTGTTTCATTCCTGGTGAGTAGAGACCCATAGTTGTGTCTTAGGTGGCTACTCGCAAGCTTTTAAGACCCCAGATGCTACCCATGTCACTAGGATGCAGATCATGATTTTTGTGAACTGTGTTATACCAGTTGACTGAGTTGCCAATGAGACTATGGTGCTAAGCCTGGAAGAAAATTCTTAATTCCTGTGTTTTGATTATCACAATGAAGCTCCCTGGGATGGGTCCTTTTTTATTCATTCTGCTGTGTATTCATTGGACCCTTTCAATCTGTAATTTCCTATGCTTCAGTTTTTGGTGTTTTCTCCATTCTATTTTTCTAATTTCTATTAATTAGAGATTGGATCTTTTGCTCTGATCTCTTGTATCTTTTTAAAAAACCGTGTTTTCTCCTTTTTCCCCTTTCTTTATTTTGGGTTACTTTCTGGGAAATTTCCTTAATTTTATCTTCCAAACTCTCTACTTTGCTGAATTTTAAATTTAATTTTCATATTTTTAATTTGTAGAACTCAATCTCTAATCAATACATTTTTTATGGTGTCCTTTTCTTATTTCATGAATGCAATATTTTTGCTTATGTCTCGTAGGATATTATGATTTAAAGTTTGTTCTTATCTACTTTTTCTGCTTCCTTTGTCTTTCTTTTCTTTTTTTCTGTTTGTTTTGGACCCTAATACCCTGGCGGTGCAGTGGTTAAGAGCTCAGCTGCCAACCAAAAGGTTGATGGTTCAAATCTACCAGCCACTCCTTGGAAACTGTATGGGACAGTTCTGCTCTGTTTACAGGGTCACTATGAGTCGGAATCCACTCGATGGCAACAGGTTTTTACTTGTTAGCATATTTCCTCAACTATCTTGTGGCCCTCTGCTGTTTTCATATTCATGAAAACATAAGTGGCATTTAAAAGATTTGTAAGGTTTTTGTGGGAGGGCAGGTCTGGCTGGCTTCATAGTGGGTGGTGAGATCAGATTTTTTTGTTGGAGAAACACCCAGGCATTCCCCAACAAAACCAAATGTCTGTAGGTTTTCTTTTCTCAGAAATCTTCTCAACTGCTGGGAGAGTAATAACCAGTATCCTGGTTCCATAACAAGGAAAGGGCTGGAGGTCTCACTTTTTCTTTTTCAGGCTTACATAAACCACCTTTAGTAGACCTCCTGATACCTGCCTTAGCCGTGGTTGATGTCTACTAATATGGGGCCCATCTGGCTCAGCCTGTCCATATAGTAAACTTCAAGTTTTCTGCATGCATGAGGAGAGGATTTGGACATCTAGATGTTCATTATTGACAGGTTCTGCCACTCCCCTGTTTTTAGTTCCAGTCTGGCTGTTGGAGATACCAGGTGCAATTTATTCTGACATCTTCTAATATTTGGCAGAAATTAGTTTACTTTGGTAGACGTTAGTTAGCTTTGTGTTGTCTTGGTTGCCATAGACATTGGGGTTCATCTTCTTCTACTCAACCAGTTACTATTTGTCCATCTACTTTCTATTTTGTAAAGTTGTATTGATATTGTTCTCTTCATCTTCATCCCTTCTTTGAATTCCTCGTATATTGAAATCTTTGTTTCTCCTTAAATTTCTTGAAGGACGGTTTTAGTAAGGCGTGGAGATAAACTCAAGTGTTTAGTCTGCCACTTTTACTTTGGAACATTTATATAAAAAGATGTCATAAAATGGCTATTACTAGATTTTGCAGGCTGAAAAAGATATTTTTGACTATACATTGGGATTTTTTGTTTGTGATAGGAAAATCATAATTTACCATAGATTTTGTACAACTTATATAACCAGCAAGAAATGTGTTCTGTATTAATAAGGTTTTTGAAAGTTAAGTGATATATATATCTGATTTCTGTAAAAAGAATGATAGTGACCTATGGTGAACTTAAAAGGAGAAATTAGATTTATTATTTTGATTAAAAAAATGAAGAAAGAAAGCAGAATAACCTTGATACCAAAGCTAGACAAAGACACTACAAAAAAAGAAAATTACAGACCAGTATCTCTCATGAATATAGAGGCAAAAATTCTGAACAAAATTCTAGCCAATATAATTCAGCATCATATCAAAAAATAATACACCACAACCAAGTGGGATTCATACCAGGTATGCAAGGATGGTTCAACATTAGAAAATCAATCAGCTTAATCCAGCACATAAATAAAATAAAAGAATCATATGATCATTTCAATTGACACAGAAAAGACATTTGATAAAGTCCAAAACTCATTTCTGATAACAACTCTCAATAAAATAGGTATAGAAAGGAAATTCCTCAGCATAATAAAGGGCATCTATACAAAACCAACAGCCAAC